AAAATTTTAAATATATTTTGAGGAATTTTTACTATTGAATTATTGAGATTTTAATATGCCACATATTTCAGTATTAAATAGAACAGTATTTTACATATATACTAAAATGTTTAATCTCAAGGATACACAAAATGAAAATTTCTCGACATAGATTTGAGAATTTTTCTATCGATCTGATGATTTAACGGTTTTAAAGTGGTTTTTCCACGGTTCACGGTTACAGCTTTTTTAGGACTTCCGAATTCTACCGTGCTGCCAGTAGCACCCACACCCTGCACTCAATTTTACATCCATAAATTATTAATTTACTAAGCAAACATGATAGTTACCGAACACAACATTTTAAATTAAGCATTTAATTTGTCCTCCAAACTATTTGCTGTTCTGATTTGAGATAAAGTATTGCACATGTGTATCTTGAAGCATAATATGCAGATTAGGTTGTGAAATCTTTTTCAAACCAACAATTGACTCGCTATACTGCACGATATACTATATCGATTACTAATATGACAAACTCTTATTTGCATAAAATACAAATTGATTTTATTTGAGAATATAAAATACAGATACCTATGCTCTAAGCATGTATGATCGATTAAATATTATGACATCAATTGGTATTTTTGTCTCAATATCTAATTCTAGCATTAATTTAGAATCATATATATTTCATTCAAATTTCAAAATGATCGAATCAGTTTGCGAAAAAATTGTCCTTATTGTCTATTCGATTTTACTTATATTAAGTGTAATAAAAATATTTTGAAAGAATAAACTCTTCGATAAAATATTAACTTATATGAATGAAATTTATTCCGATGGAAAATTTCAATCAAATCACGTTTGCTTTCATTAACAAGTGATGACTTGTTACCGACTTGATCAGCATTTTTCTCATATTCCTAATCCAAATCGATCCATGTTAAGGTATTATAATTGACTTTAAGAAGGAAAAGTAACTTTCTGTAATTTTAGAAATAATACAATTACATTTGTAGTTTTAAAGTTTCTTCCGATAAGTAAACTCTTATAAATTCACCAAGTTCTGATAAATTAAACTAATATTTATTTCAAATGATAAAGGGATCTTCCTAGTATTATATGTTGTAGATAAAACTAAATCTATTACAATCCAAATTTGTCATGCATCTATATAGTTTTTTCAAAATCTATAGGAGGTCATGTTTTCTTTTTAAAGTCAATTGTAATACCTTGTCCTGGCTTTTATTGACATACTTCTATCATCAACAAAAAACCAGCTCATTTTGGTTAAAATACAGTGGAGATATTCAATTTTGTTTTGCAGTGAGCCACCCATGGCTCACATTGTGTCGAATGTGTTAATGATATTGTTCGTGCACGTTCTTCGTAGTTTCTGAGTTTTTCCTGTTTAATTTAGATTTTTGAAATCTGTTTTCAGCTCATAGTCTCATTAATTCTAAAATAATTCATAGAATTATGTTAATCTATTATCTGAAAATAATTGTTGAAAAGGATATTAAATTAGAGCAGCAAAGCAAAGTTTTGAAGAAATTAAAAAGGAAATATATTTACATTCGATTTCATTACTCCTCTAATGAAAATCAAAAATATCATAATCAAATATGTTGCATGAGTAAATTAGCCTCTCTTAAAGAATGTTCAACGAAGTTTTGATACAGAATGTTTTACTCCACAAAACAGTCGAGTTTGTTTTTCAAGCAAAATTCTCTTGTTCACGTAAAATTTAGACAGTTTACGGCTTTTCCACAGCGAACGAAATAACAAATAAGGTGACAATTTCTTTCTGAATATCATATATGTCAAACGTTTATTGTTATTTATTTTTTGACTGTAATCATTATTCAAGACTTAGCATGGTGGGAGATGAATAGGCAACCAACAGTCACTCAAATAAAGATAATGACGACAATGCACAAACGAGAAAAGAGGACAATGTTGAAATAATAGTTTCATATGAGCATCAACCTTGAAAAGGAGACAAAAGAGTACTAACTCAAGATAAGAGTCCAACGATGAGAATGAATTCGTTTGTCAATGTATATTCAATTAACACATCGAAAATGGTTATACATCATGAAGGTAATCATTTTTTTGGTCATAATCCCCTTTTCTTGTTCAGCTGGGCATCATGAAATATATATACTCGGTTTTGGTGATCACTTTAAATAGTATTGATAATAAATATTTTCATTGAAAATTCAGGAATCGACGAGATGACGATTTTTCTGTATTTCGTTCGGTATCCTTTCACCTGTCGCTCAAATCTCAGGTATAAATTCGTTTTATTCTTCATATTGAACTTTAATCCATTTCATCACTCATTTATATTACCCTGCGCAGTCTCTTGTCAAATAGACATGTTTGAACTGCAAGTGATCATTTCTATAATATCCCAGCTACTATTCTAAAAATTCAGTTCCAGACCTATCACTACCTGGTACATCTTCGACTGTTTCTCTTTCATCCAACATCCGATTCATCGCAAAAATTCTCGAAAGCATTGAAGAAATCATATTAAAATGTTGTTTGTTTCTATTGCCGTTGGAGTTTATGCACATTTTCAACTTTTGAAAAAGTATCACTATCGTAGATTAACTCATGCTTCTGTCGTGCAATTTATAGACATCTCTACATCATTGTCAAGTAAATAGATTGATCTAGTTTTTAACAGAGGCATAAGAGCAGAACTATCTACAAGGTACGAAATAAAATCTTCAGGAATTATTCAATGACTTATTTGACATTCTTAAGATTGTGCTTTTCAAAACTTAGAAAATTCAGTGCTCACCTTGTTTGTCATTACTAGAAACAATGGCGGTTGATCAGATGCTGATAGTTATACTTCCATCAGTTCCTTCGACTTTATTGTGCCCGAAGAAGATTATTCTGCTTTCTCGTATAGATGGTGAATCCTTGCTACAGTTAATCGATTGTATTCACAAGACCGATCATCAACTAATTCTTCTAGTTACAATCATTCGTTAAACGAGAAAAACTACGATAACCTCGCAGCACGCATACGAATGATATATACTAGTGTGATTGATCCATCGCCAACCGTAACAATAATTTGTATTTCACAATTAGTTTCTTTTCTTAACGTATTCGATCCCGATTTCATCATCTCGATGAATTTTTCTTACAAACTAGCTGAATGAATTCTTACTCATCGCTCGATTAAGATCAATGCATATACGAGTCCATTACCTCTTTAAAGAAGAAGTATTAGGAGTTCAATGAAGTTCCGGAATCCTGGAGTCCTTCTTCTCTTCATCTACGTCCTGAAAGTAGATGTTTCATATAAAATAAAATGCCATATTTCTTATGAGTTACTAATAGAAACGAATTATCATTATCAATCTTTAAAAGCATAACAGGGCAACAACGAAATTTTAAAAAATTAATTTGTTATCCTTCTGTCTTTGTTATGTTATTGAATCGTACCTTCTAAAAAAAAAAAAACTTCATAATAATTCGTTTGGGGTTGCAGATTTGGGTATTATTTTCTGAACTATTTAAAGTTCCAGCCAAAATCTCTAGAACCTTTTTACATCTAACATCTCTCGGGTAAAACCTTTTTGAGTTCTAGCTGAAAAGTCTTGAGCTCAAAAAGGTTCATAAAATGCTACCCAAATCTAGCACCCTAAGAGGATTATTATGACACCTCTTCTTTAGAGAGTAAAACGGATATATAAAGGAAATAGTAGATAGCATCATCTATTATGATGTATCTCGTACAAGGACAATCTAATTTAATATACGTAGATAAATGCTTCGATTGATATGTAATATATTTTGATTTCAACTCCATTTTAAGTTATAATAGAAAAGCTATATAGAAAAACTCTTGCTTTTTTCTGAAAAGAGATTTTTTTCTGTAAGAATCAAATTGCGGACAAATATTTACTCAATATACTTCATTCTAGAGAGTTGTTGTTTTTTTCTTCTAATCAATAGATATATGCATAGTCGTTCAGATGAGGAAAATGAATTTTCTAATTAATTACCAATGCTAGATAAACTCTGAAATTTCTAGAAAACAGAGCCAGTTTCGATGATTGAAAAAATGAAACAAAAAAATTGTCCTCACATCCAAAGTGATAACGAGTTCTCTTTCCGACGAGAACAATCAGAAGCTTACAGCTTGAAATATATTAATAATGAAAGCTCTGTTTTTCAGTTTGATTCTTGGAAATTACCTGAACGGTAAGGTATGAAGACTTGACATTTTTTTATTAATGTACTTTTATCAATATGTTATCTACTTTGTTACAGTTAGATTTTCAAAGAGGACTCATGATTGATATTAGTCAATTTTCGTAACAAACGATATTATTCAGCAACGGAAGAGCTTATAAATATTGAATCTTTCAAATGGTTTAACTCATTATCAAATGTTGACAATGGCTTCTAAAGTTTCTTCTAGATAAAATTATGCTTTTCATGCCGACTTAAATATAAATATAAATAACTTTTTTTCTTTATCGTATCGATATCGATAACAACAAAAATATTCTTGACTTGTAGAACAAAAAATTCGATGAGAAAAAAAATGATTAAACTTTATGAGTAAGTCAGTTGTGCTTGTCTTTACATAGTAGAATACTTAATCAGATCAACAACAAACAGATAAAATTACTTGAAGTATGTTTTCTATATTGAAGTGAAAACGAGACTATACTATATGTATATGTTAATAATATGTTTTGAAATAAAACTGAGTAATCACTTAGTATTTGTTCATTTTTTTCTGCGTAGGAGAACAACAACGAGATATTTCATGATTAATTTCTACACATCACTTATGTTGAATAACAACAAAAGTAGGGAACGTCGTCAACGAGAGGTAATTTAATACTTCTTTAGTTGACTTATTGTAATTGAATATATGTAGTTATAAAAGAAGACAAAAAAATAGCTTTCATTATTATTCCAATATTTTTATTCTAAAATAGAAGAACTTCTTATCGTACCTTTAAATTCTAGTATTGAAGATGATATCGTTTCTATACGGTTGTATTTTACTTGTTTCAATCCCATTAACAACTGCCGGTAAGATTTTTGTTTTATTATATCTATCTATCGTTGATTATAAATCTAGTTCTATTGGATGGTGGTTGTACAAATGATACTCAATGCGAAGGATCTAATCTTCGTTGCCGAGAAGGAAGATGCCAATGTAATTCTCCAGCATATGTACCGTGTCAATCAAGATGTGGTAAGTAATATTAATAAAAAAAACAAAGAACAAAAATTTTAATTTATCCTTTTTTGTTTAGATATAAATTTTCGTTATGCTTATGAAGGAGATAGCTGCGAAGTAAACGAGAATTGTATAGAAAATGCAATTTGTGCCGTAAAAAAATGTATATGTAAACCAGAGTATCCAGCTAAAAATGGACTTTGTTGTATGTTGAAATTCATATTTTTATTTATGATTTTGTGGAAAAAAAACAAACAAGAATCATCATTTGTTTTAGTGAAAAATTTGAATGCCACTTGTTCAAGTCATACGGACTGTCGATCACAATATTGTCCAAATTCACGATGTGCATGTGCACCTGGTTTTGAGCTTTCTAATAATCAAGAAAGTTGTAGTATGTATTTATTTATTAACTAGTTTTTTTGAAACACAACATAAAAAGAGTGTTGAAATATACGGATACACATTTTGATACCCTCCACAGACGTAACTGACATCCTTAGCAAAGTTTTTCTTTTGTTGCTGGTCGTGACAGACGTTGTTAAATATACGATCACAAACTCTATAATAATAACATCTCTTTATAATATAAGAACTACGTTCTTATTGCACTTGTACAGGATTAAGTAAAACTATGATAAAGAATTCGATGCCAAAATAGATAGACTAAAACAATATTCGTGTGATTAGCAGTCGCAACGATTGTATGAATAGATTTTTCTAAAATAAATTTAATATTTATTCATTTTCTAGAACGAATATTGGTTAATGTTTATAATAGTTGGTCTGATGCAAATACAGCACAAGCATTTTGTTATGATGATAATTCATGTATAGATACTATTGCAAGCTGTATTGGTGGGCCACAAAATACGACGAAATTTTGTAAATGTCCATATGGACATAAAGTTGAAGATAATAATAAACGATGTGGTAAATAATTTCAAAATATTCAGTTTTTGTTTTTATCTAATTTTTTATTTTATTAGCACCAATTATTAGTACATTATTATCACCATTAGATTCCTTGATATCTAATTATGGTGAATGTGGTTTATGTGATGATATTAATGCAGCATGTATACAAGCTGCTGATGAAATAACATGTTGGTGTCGTATTGGTTATATTAAAAATAATAATAAATGTCGTATGTAGATATGTAAGAATATATTTAATTTTTGAAATATTTTTAAATTTAAGAAAATGAACCAAGAACAAAACCTCTGGTGATATTTCCAAATTCAGCTGATCTTAATTTACATGATTTTACAGATCATTGTACTAATGGAAGCAATAATACAAATCAAATTGATAATAAATTATGTGTATGTGCTCCAGGTTATGAATTTGTTACTAGAGATCAATCATGTGGTAATGATATTTTAGAGAAAATACTTTAATAGACATTTTAAAAATGTTTGTTTTTATTTTAGTACAAATTCAACGTGATTGGATAAATGATGTATATGAATATGGTCTTTGTACTCGTGTTACATCTCGAAATACATCTATAGGCCTTAATGGTTTATGTCCTGAGCCATTAAAATGTGAAGCACGAACAGATAAACATGTTTGTTCATGTGGTGAAGATAAATTTCGAGATATAGATGATCCAAGTCAATGCGGTAAGAAAATATTTGACTATCTAAAGCAGAGTTCCGCATGGGTTGGGTTGTACCCCAGTAAGTCGGCCTATGAGTTATCAAACATTGACCGAGCCTAACAAGTTGAAATTTTTCCCAAAAATAGTTTGATTTACCATATTGATCAAAGTTATTTATTGGCAAAAACTAGTATTCCTGATTTTATAAATATGTAGATATTGAAAAAAATTGAAATTTTGGTACGTTCAGAGGCAGTTTTCATAAATCGATCATATTTATCGGTCTTGTATTATCATGTAGACACCTTATCAGCAAATTATTATTATTATTACAATTCAATGTCGTTATTTTTTATTCTGTTTTGTATATTTATTTGCTCGTCATTTCAAAACAAAACTTATAGTGGTACTTTGTGATGCTTTCAGAGAATTTCGCTTTTATTGAGGATTTGATTAGTAGACTGTAATAGGCCAATGAGCTAAATGCTGTAGTCCATGAGCTGTACTACACTTGGTTCAGCCCATTTCAAGTTCTGATTGTAAAATATTATTTGAAAATGTGTATTCTACTATAACTTTTATACTTGTATAAAAAGTGACGTTAGTTCAATAAACGAATTATTTGAGAGAGAAATTTTGCTATAAATAATGAATACTTTCTACTATATATTTGGATTGAAAACAAAAATAATCTCTGATGTTTCAATTTTATTTTCATAGTTTAGAAATTTATTATTATGTTTTTTGTTTTGTTTTTGTAGTTTATTTTATTGGTAAGAGAACAAGTTCAATTATTGATAAATGTCCAACAAAAAATGCCGTACGAAATAGCACAACTGGCATTTGTGAATGTCTTGCAGGATATAGAGTGACTAATAACAATCGTCAATGTGGTTAGTAATCTTCTCTATTCAATATAAAAGTTCTGTTAAATATAAATAATATTTTAGAAATGAAATTATCATCTGAAATCTTTCAACCACCTTGCAACTCAAATCAATTATATAATACAATATGTCAGAATTTATTCGGTAACACTGCATTATTTTGTACGATTGGTGAATGCCGGTGTTCGGGAAATTATAGTTTTTCGGATCAGGCTCAAACTCATTGTTGTAAGTAGACAACATCTTTTAAAAAAAAAACTATAGTCATTTTTTTGTTTCAATAGATGCACCATTAAATCAATCACTTGTTCAACCAATAAAAGATTGTCCACCACAATCCAATCCACAAGGTGATCGTTGTCAATGTAATGATACCTATCGTCCATCGAATGATTTTCGGCAATGCGGTACGAAAAGATTCCAAATACAAAAAACAAATATTTCATAGAAATCTATTGCTTTTACTTTAGTTCGTTTGCAAGTACAATTAGTTGAATATATAGGACCATCAACAAATACAAATGGAGAATTGACTACAGAAGAGTGTCAAATTTTATTTACAGGACCTGTTGAATCCTATGCAACTGGTCGTTGCCAATGTAAATCTATAGCATTTATAAATGCTAATAAAACTGGATGCTGTAAGTGTATAATACTAAATTAATTTAATATTGTAATTTTTTTAATCTAGTGTCTCGACTCAATGTCACATTGACAGAACCAAAAGATTTTCAACATTGTCCTCCACGCAGTACTATTGCGTCCGGAGGAATATGTCAATGTGATACTGGTTATACAGGAAATAATAATGAATGTGGTAAGTTATCATCAATTAGTCGAATTCGTTGATGAAAATTAGAAGTTATCAACAATATGAATGTCCTATGCAATGTAGAGACAAAAGTTTCGAAATGCAATATGTTTGGCATTTTTTCCTATCAGAAGAAAGAACTGGTTAAATTTTGATTAATAGGTTTTGAAGAAAAGGTCTTTAGAAAACCAAAACCAATTTTCTCGATTCTATTAAAAACGTTTTGCAAACAAGCTCATCTAAGAGAAAGAACATTTTTGCGTAAAAGTGTTTTCTCTATCAGATGAACTTGTTTGCCAAACAATTTTTGATAGAATCTAGAAAACTAGTTTTGAGGTTCTTGGTTTCCTAGAGACCTTTCACTTAAATCTGTTCAATGGAATTCAACAATTACCTTTTAAAATGCTTCGTTCCTAAACTTTTTATCGCCATCTTCTTATACAAATAAAAAATTTATTTATGTTTTAAGTGCCCCTAGCAAATCGTGTCTACAATGATAGTGATACTGCAGCACTAAATATAACCGGTTTAACTACACCCATCTGTACAAAATTGTTCGGTTATGGTGCAACGTTATCAAACAAGGGAAGTTATTGTATTTGCATACCTGATGCATATCATGTTGCAAACTTTTCATTTTGTCGTAAGAGAATTGATAGTTTCAGGCTATAATTATGATAATTATATATCATTTTCATTATTATAGTTTTTTTTATTAACCGAATTACTAGCGGTATTAAACGTGATGTCGATTGCCCAGCCGATTCGTTTGTTTCTCCTCAGGTATGAATTTTAATCATTCTTCATACATATATATATATAAGATATTAATATGTTCAAATAGAGCTTGCCATCGGCATGTGTATGTAGTCCAGGTTATCATGTGTCATCTGATAATAAAACATGCAGTAAATAAATACTAACTATTTAAATAGCCATATACTTTTGTGTATTTTGTTTTTTTTTATAGTAACAGCAAATATTGCTCTGGTTGGTACTGCTAATGTTAGTTCATCTCAAACAACGAATTGTACCACTTTCAAAAATGTTGACTGTACTGTTAAATATGGACAATATGCTTTTTGTCAAAATGAAGAATGTTTTTGTAATCGTCACATCAGTTTTATTAATTCATCGGGTCAATGTGGTAAGTTTTCAAAATTATAAAGCATGTTTTTACAATGAAAATTTCTTCTCATTAAAAATACTTTTTAATAAATCCTTTGATCTAACTTAGCACTTACATAATGATGAACTACTCTTAAGAGGACTGACATTTATCTGTTTCCAATACTTTTGGAGAAAATTTCATCAGAAAATTTTCAGGACGGAGANTAATTAAAATGCGCTTTACTGTGTGGATTGTAGCGCTTTTCACGCTGCATCTTGTAGTATATTTTGTTTTCTTAATAGAACGTATCAAGTGGTGGAAAAATGAAACGCAAAAGTAACCCATGTACATGTATTATGCGCCAGCCATTATTTTTTGGACATGGAAAAATAAGATTTCTAGAATGTTAGCCTATATATCTCCCTTATAATAAGGGGTAGAGACGTGAAACTTTGGGGTAATATTCGCCTACTTACAAGGGATAAAATACCAGAATTTGAGCATTTTTGAGTTTACTATAAGGGAGAACGAACAATTTTTCTGAGAGGGCCCAAGACTTTTGGATCACTCTTTAGTATAGCATCCGATGTCTTCTACTCATTGATAAAGTATGCTTGAAAACACTGACGGAATCTTCATTAGATGTTCCTAGAAAATACTCGAAATTTCCAATAGTCAAGACAAAAGTCAACAAACCTTTTCAACCAAAACCTGTTTTCTGATCATTTCTCATCTAACTAGTACAACAGAAGTCGATAGAAAAAAAAGACTAGTTGAATATCCAATGATTTACTTATTTATTAAAACAGAAATTTTATTTTTTAATATTGATATATTTTCTTCAATTAACATTTACATAGAAAATATTTATAAATAGTATAATCACTTACGGTCACTATGTGCAAAAAAATCGACTAAATTAGGTTTGTCACTTCGTTGAAGGAAAGCATGTTTATCAGCAGACCATAATGGTAAATCATAATTCTCACGTGGTAGCTCGTAAATATGTAATTGAAGTATATACTTATCAGGAATAATTTCATAATTATTAATAATAATTGAAAATTTTAACGGAAATTGTACACCTGTTTCAAAATGTACATGATTCCAATAAATTTCTTCATTAGACATATTCGCAATAGCCATTGTACCTACTATTCGATTAGGTACAGATTGTAATATAATTGGATACACTGTACAATTAATTACAGTTCCATCTAAAAGACATTAAATTTAATGATAAAAACTATTTTAAATTCTATTTCAAACAAAATATTTTCTATTGTTTTTCGATATTTCCTTTCATCTTTTTCACAATCAGAATGAAATAGTTTTTTTATGCTGTATAGAATCATTTTTCTTATCAATCAATTCAAAAAAATATTATTTTCTTATATCGATGTTGTTTTATTTAAGACAAAAAGTAGAATGCATATTTAAGTTTGATATCTTCTGTTAGTTGTTCGCAAATTTGAAAAACAAAAAGAAAAGCTTAATTTTTTCTTTTAATACATACCAATATCATCCGAAAATAATATTAAACTGATCAACAATTGGATGAGCACATATGCCATCGATATAAAACAATTAAATTGTATGTGTCCAATAAACACAACTTTGTTCGATTCTATCACATCAATATTTGATACAGATGTCTGTAGATGAAAATGAAAAAACAAAACTTCTTAATCGATTCCAGTCAACTAATGTTTGTCCTAGTTTTTAGTAAACTTCAGTGTTCGTTTTACACAAGTAAATGATTAAAATTGACATTAACATTTTAGTGTTTTTTCCTTGTGACAAACAAGTGTATTAAAAGATATTCAAACGTTTCCAAACTTTAATTATTTATTTGTATTCAATCACAGATAATATTTGTTGATTGGATATATTAATAATTGCATTTGTTCTAGTTTTATTATTAAATAACTCAATCAAAAAAACAAAACTCGAAATATAAATATTTTTTTTGTCTAGTGCTAAGGTGCTGGCAATTGCAATTTGTGAAAATTTTTTTATCGCCGTTCAACAGAGCGCGTTGATTTATCTCTAAAAAAAATTCTTTTTGACTTATTCGAACAGCGATTTTGTAGCGAAAATTAGGTTGAAAAAAAAATAAATAGAAAAACTTACAACAAATTGAAATACATTAAAAGCATTAAGACTCGGTAATCTACATGTATTTGACCTTACTCTTCATATGGTAAGAAAAATTGATGTTTTTCTGAATTTTTTTAAAAACTTTAGTTTCGCCACAAAAATAAATCCAGTTTTTTTTCACATAATAAAATGCTTGCTTTCGTATCTCTTTGATTTTGACACATATTTTTTTTAATATGGAAAAAAACTAAATTTTTCATATTGCTTGGTTATCTGTATGAACCATCAAATAAATTGTAAAAAGAAATTATTCATTGATACAACAAAATGTTACCATTCATAGCCAATTACTTCATTTGATTAACAATAAATAGTTCTTTTCTCTGAATTGTTTCATTGTTCAAATTAATAGCCGACAATAAAATGAAACAGTTTCTGTATAAATAGTTTATTCGCTTCACATGACTGAATTTTAGGACAATTTTTTGACTCTTGAGATTGACATATATGTATTTCATTTTCTTGTTTCTTCTCATTGAAGTGAATTTTAAAGTTCTTCTGCCTTATTGCCTCTGTAGTCAAGGAAAACAGTCATTATTAAATGTATCAAAGATTCAAATCCAATGATGTTCATCGAAACATCAAGTAAGACTATAAAGAAACTTAATAAGACTTTTTGTTCATGTTCAAAGATCTTATGCCATTGCGGTTTATATATTCAATTGTTTAATTGGTTTATTTATTTGTATGATTTTGTCTGCTGTTGTATTTGCTCTTATTCCATTATATTTACCCTTTCATACTCTTATTCCAGCTAGTCTTGATAATAAGTAATTCATTTGTTAATACTCTATATTTCTATTTCCTTTGTCTTTTGTTTTTTACGTCGTACACTCGATATATATACTTATTTTCATATTAATAATATTATACCAAATACATCGAATTCATCAATTGTATTCATTGATGAGAAAAATTGGCCAATTATTGAACGAACAGTAAATGAAATTAATAAATAATTTGATTAATTTTATCCTTTAAAATTTTAGATACAAGATTTATTAAGTTTAAAAATGAATAATATTCAATTTACAAATATATCAGACGTACGAATAGTTGATTCAATCACTGAAACAGTTCCAAAAATGTTCTCAATTCAATCGAAATATATTTCGACGACATGGTGTAATATTAATGGTTGTTTACGAGTTTTAGGTAAAATTATATTTTCAGTTGGCTGTCCATTAGCATGTCAATTAAGGAAAATGAATAAAATCAAAACAGTAAATTTAATTCAACCATTAATAAAGATGAATCTTAATTCAACATTGAATATAAATTACATCATTGAATTCGATGCATTTACTATTGGTAAGAAACTTTATTTTATTAAGTTTTTTTGAATATTAACATAGGTCTTTTGTTTTTTGTTGCAGTTGTTTCAGAAGGTTAGTGTATACAAAAAAAAATTTGTTAGCTGAAATTGAACTAACTCGATCTTTAGATAAAGAGGGTGGTGATCAAGTTAAAGTATTCTTGTTATATAGTCTGATGGAAAATCGTGGTAGAACTTTATCATCATTATTTAGTACTGCAGTTGATAATTTAAGTTTAAATAATATAACTCGTTTAGTAAGAATCTAAAATAATTATTTTCAGAACTTTTTTTTTTCTATTTAAATATTAATTATTTATTACAGGTAGATAATAGTATCATTGAATCTCATATGGATATTTATAAATTTAATGTTGTTGAAGCTGTAGTAATAATGGAATCATCAATATTAAATGTTACTGTTTTATTCACGTTTATTAAAAAATGTACGATTGATTGTCAAGAAATACAATTTAATAAATTAAAAAATACAAAGTCGACTATTCTTAATCCAATTATTATTGTTTATGATAGAAAAATTCATTTTCATAATGTTACATTGATTGGCAAGTTTCATTTTTCTTTAATACATCTCTACTTAGACTATACCAATAGTAGTGATATGGTAGGTCGTTCATCACGAAAACAAAGTGTAGTATAGTATGAACTTTAATGTAAAAGTGAAAGCTTTTCTTATGCATCTACACCATAGATGCACAGCTTTATTTGAGTTTCTAATATTAGCATATGAGTTGAGAAACGGTAGAATTCCAGAGCAGTGTGTTAAGGAAATTTCCTCGAGTCATCTATAAGATAATATAATACTACTGCCACTACTTTTGGTATACATTAAGTAAATTGAATTAGTTTGTAGACGTTTTAATTATAACATCAACGGTAGTATTAAAACCCACAACAGAAAATCCAATAAGTAAGAGTTAGAATTGTGATACTTCACATTTTAATCAAAATGTATTAATTTCTAAGTACTAGATAATGTAACAATCGAAATGACAACTGAATCAATGTTAGGTAAGTGAATATTCGCTTTTTTAAAATTTTCTACTGTATTTATAACTTTGTAGATACTACAAAAATGATTTTTGAAGTAAATTACAAATTAGATTCATTTGATCTAGTAAAAGAAGGTGATTTTGAAGTTGGTTCCATTTTGGATAATTCAACTTTAAATGATTTAACAAATATGGTGAACAGAAGAAATAAATATTTCATTTATCGTTGTTTTAATGCCATTTCTTTAGATGCAAACAACAGTATCAAATGGTTCAAATATAACTGTAATTGTATTTAATGCTACTATTGAAATTGATTATGAAATTTCTACGAAGAAGTTTGAATTTCTTTCTTTTTTTATGTAAAATATAAATACTACTTATTAGGATAGTTATATCTGATTCAATCAATTATATTCTTCGTCTTATTGTTTACTATATCTTTTCGGTAACATGCAATATATGTATTGAAATTAGTAATAGTGCTGTCTATAATGAACCTCAACTAGGTAAACTAATTGAAATTCGAAATGCTTCTTTAATTGATATCTCTCGACCGGTCACCGTTATCAAGATTAGTAAGTATCTCGGTAGATTTTTGCTACAAAAAAAAACTATTCATTATAGTAATAATATTAAATGGTTTTCATTTGTAATGTATATTTCGATATTCTCAGTATCAAATCTAATAACAACAATTTTTTCATCTGCTCACACAGATAATTTATAATATTGATTTACTATACTGCTAGAAGAAATGGTATTTTTTTTTCGTTTCTCAATCCCCGAAAGTTTCTTTCAGAGATAGTATGCACCTCTTGAAATAAACTTCTACATGACCGTTTAAAAAACATTTTGCAAGTTCATACGATCCTTAAAAATCATTTCGATTATTAGAAAGCTGTTCAGATCTCGTATTCTACGATCTCTATATATATATACTTTTTAGTTTCTATGCCAACTATTCAATTTTCAACAGCAAATTTAAATTATAATTCTACAATAAAAACAACCAGTTCAACAGTAGTTCATACTACTACTGATCCAACTATTAGTCAACATCGAACAACAGAACATACAAGTACTGTTCATCATACATCAGAAAATAGAACGAATGTTCTATATAGAATTACTCTTCCTTATACGATCAAATAAAACATTAATATCGAAAATCTTTTGATATATAGAAAAAATAACCTTCTCTTAAAACTTTATTTTCATTTATTTATAAAAGAATTAATTTTTCACGATTTAGTATTATTTTTATCACTATTAACACTTTTTTTCTTCTTAATGCGTGATCCATGAAAAAATAAACCAAATAAATAAATACCAGCATACGAGAAATTTTATAATTTGAAGTGAATTATACCATTAGAAAACCTTGAAAAGTGATGACGAAATTCAAACTGGTAGCTCTTTCTGAAAATCTTAACAAGACATATTAAGGCATCTTTGAATCCATCCTCAGGTATTATTTTATAAAGTTTTTAAAAAAATTTGATGATTTCTGGAGAATTCTATTTGACTCTTCAGGAAAACATATATATTACTATTGAAGACCCCTCTTTTCTCACATTCATTAACGTGTCTTGATTTGATCTGATAAATTCATTATTCTAGAAAAAATTCTCAAACATAAATCGTACCTAAAGAGTTTCTAATGTGTTATGTTTTTTTACTAAAAAATAGACAAAAGTCACCATCTTTTTTTATGAAAAGTTTTTATATTTTTGCCGTACAGGTTATAGCCAAGCGATTACTTCCCAAAACGTCATATGTCAGTTTTCGACGATTGGTTATTTATCTTGTTTTACTCGTTTTCAATCCATTGCATTTTCTTTTAATTATATATATACAACTTCTTTTTTCTTATTTTTTGGTAGTATCTTTGCACTGCGTTTTAATAACAATATATACGCAAGTCAATCATCCACTGTCGTAGACAGCCATATACCGATCAAATGCGACAAAAACTGGTAACTATCAATAGCGATCGTTTACAGCCATCACAAACAATGTTTTACGGTGTATTTTAACCTTCATAAACAACGGTCATGAAATATTGTCGTTTATGACTAGCGTAAGAATACGATGCCAGAAACGACGCTCGGATAATATCGTAACCCATTGCATACTGCACTTGTAAACGTTTTGATATATGATGATGAATTTCCATCAAAAAATATTTGCATTCGTATGCGAATATCTATGATAGCTTAAGTATTAGGCACGACGGTAAGCATATTGTGGTTAGGATATAGGTATAAGAATGTAGGCAGCCAGTATTGGTATAAGGTATAAATATGTGTATATAGGTGTAAGGGCATAAATCCATGGCGTAGTTTTTTCGATTTAGAAATAACGGTACAAGTTTTTGATTATATGACTAAGATCACAGGTGTGAGATATATGCATAAGCACATATGTCTTATGATAATGAAGCAGGCGTTTACTCGTAACTCCTATTTCGGTTCGTCATGGTCGTAAACGTTAGTACATATTGCTGTTTCTATCGGAAATATGATCTTTTTACGGCCTTAGTATTGCTGCAAACGATGCGCGTATTTCACCACATGTGGCACGTCACAATACGACTGTAATATGATCTATACGAAAAAGTTAATTAATGACTTGTATATGGTTGTATTTTGGACGTTTACGCTAGCTTTCAACATCGTAAACGTCTGTAGAGAATCGTTTCTGATAATCGTAATGCTTGACCTGGGATATTTGGGTTTATCTCGCATTTGGTTCTTAACTAAGCAATGATAGGAGTAGACAGTATGTTTTTACCATTGGCATCATGATTCTGATTATTGATTATATATTAACAATTGATCGTGAAAGAGAAAGAAAACAGCTATAGAACGCTAATGATTTAAATCCGGTCTTATCCTGCCGGATCTCTAAGCCTCATTGCTGCATCCGATAAGACCCGTTCTCAATTCACTGTTTGTTAGTTTACAGATCATTGGATTCTAGACTCAATCCGATCGAATAATATCAGAATCTGACTATTTTTGACATCATCTGACAAAATTCAATGATACCATTTCTCGACCTGGGGTGACTTTTTAAAGAAAAGTCGACGACACGCATTTTTAACCGAGACTCCATGTCTCCATCAAAAACCATTTGTTTCGTCTAAAAACTTTGTCAGATAAGTTGCCCAATATGATCTATCGAATGAACATACCGAAATTGAAATTCGAAATTGGACAATATTATGTGAATTAGCGATAGGTTCGGGGATTCTCTCTTAATGTCGAGCTCATTAAGTGACCATAAATACATTGAAAGAATTCCCTTTGTTTCGTGTGCATTTTTGAAATTGTAAATGTGTCCTTTTCTCGATCTGTGTGACTCAGCGTCACTCAAAAAGTACTCGGTGCATTTAAGTATTGAACATCTTTAGATTGATTTTGATAAAGGTTCAAAAAATGTTCTTAGTACTATTTTGTCGTCTCGTACTCCTCGTCGTCGACTATTGAATGTAAGCGCTAATCATTTGTCAGTAGATAATATGTCTCCAATTTGATCATTCTCCATCTATTCTATTGTCTGCAATTCTTATCCATCTAATCTTGACAAGTAACAGTCTTGGTTTTTCATCGATCGAAGAGCTTTTGCCTTTCACATCTCGTCTACAAATGCTCAATGACCAAGTGCAATCATAATGCATGTGCATGGTAATTCTTAGAAACTAAGAGCGAGCTCTGACAGAGTTCATGTCTGTGCTCAAGCAACTCGATATAAAGGTACATGCAAACGTATCACTCTCGGTCCTTGCTGTTATTGTTGACATCAATTATGAATTTTGGCGATCATGACAACGGTGGCTCGAGCGTAACAATAATTTGTGAATCGCCTGTTACAGTGTGTTCTTCTATAACATCTACCTCGATCCTATCTATTCTCTTTTCTTTGTTATTTTCGTTTCTTTTATTTCTTTCCTTTGCACTTGATTGACCTCTGTATTCTTCTATATTTTGTCCTTAGTTTTCATGTGCGTATATAAACACTTGTTTTGTAAAAGAATAAACAGAGAGAATAAACCACACGCACACACGTTAACTGTGTTCGTCGCTCTTCGTGAGCGCGAACGCTAACACACCTATATTCATTTCTATCCTTCAATAAAGAACAGTGAGTCTAAGTGCTGTATTTCACTCTCGTTGCTGTCATATCTCGTTTGCAAAATTTTTAATGTATGAGATAAGAAAATGCAGGTTTGTTATTTCTACTCGTATATGGTCGTTATTTGATCGTTCCATCATGAATTTTTTGCACTGATGCCCAAGCTCTTAGATATAGGTTATCAGCGCCGTCTATCTGCTCGCTTTATCGAAAGCAAAATGCGTACATCTATTTTCAACTATTTAAAACCAAAGAACAACTACTTATATTTTTTTATTAATTGCACAAGCAAAGAGGCGCATCTTCACTTCTTTGTCTTTCAACAGAAGTAAGCGACTAAATAAGAAAAGAGTTAGGGCTTTCACGTTGCAACATAGATCCCATTCAATGCTTCACCATGAAATTCTCTCTCACGAAGAGTCTCTGAGAAAGTTCGATGCACTTAACCTTCTCAACTTCTGATTATGAGAAAAAGTTTCTGGTAAACATGGCCTTTTGAAGCATTTTAGATGGAGCATCCCAACCCCCACTTCTATTTCTGTGCAACTTTGCCCATACTCTTCTAATTCGATGAGCAGATCTATCATCTTCACATTCTATCGAACAGAAAATCATCAACCCCAGAAAAAGCATCTTGTTAGTGATGTCACTGACGTACAACTTCACCACTAAGGTTAAGTGCCAATGACTTTAAAATGATTTCCTAAAACTCAGTCATTGTTTGCTTCTTAAAGACGTCAAAATACTCTTTCTTCATAACCCAAACAAACAAACTTTTTCAACAACGCATTTAAACGCATGAAAAGTGTTGTAAAAATTAAAAAAAGTGGACGTTTTTGTGTGTTTACATGCGTTTTCAGCCAAAAAACGATTGTAGAAACGTATAAACGCATAAAAAAAGAACATAAAAACTAGTGGTCTTTTTCATAATCGTTAATCGCAATCATGATTACAATGACAGTTTACGATTATGAAAAAGATCACTAGTTTTTATGTTCTTTTTTTATGCGTTTATACGTTTCTACAATCGTTTTTTGGCTGAAAACGCATGTAAACACACAAAAACGGCAAAAAATGGGTGTTTTTCGCTCACAGTCGGGAACCGCGATTGTGAGCGAAAAACGTCCACTTTTTTTATTTTTAAAATACTTTTTCATGCGTTTAAAAGCGTTTTTGAAAAAGTTTGTCTGCTTGGGAATCGTCGCAATTGTGTCTTTACCATGAAAAACGAAAGACTGTAGATGAAGCTATTTTGTGCACAATAGATTTATAGAAAATCAGCCTATTCGATAAACTAGGAGAGATTTTTGATCGTCAATACGCCCATTGTTGCGTCAACAGTTAGCATCAAAAATCAATTATGCCCCTGCTAAGATAATACGACCTGAATGCGAAAAACTCTCGAAAGCATGCAATTCTAGATGGCCTACTCATCCCAGTACTCAATGCGCGAAATGCTTAAGCAAACACATGTAAACTAGTATTTTGAGAAAACATATAGATAATTCCAAAAATCTGAGCGCATCATCGTTACAAATCGGTACGACTAGGATGAAGACCGGCTGAGTAACTGCCATGTGTGGAAAGTCGAGTTGAACTTGACAAATGGGTGATGAGATCAGTAAATTCAGATTGCACGCATTGGCTCCTACAATCATTTTTTTATCTTGACACGATTGATTACAGAATATTATGTCAGAAAATAATTTTCATCGGTTTTTAAAGTGTGATTTTTATTAGATACCCTTTTGAATTGGATCTGTGAAGTGTCAGTTTCTTTTTTCTCAAACTCGCCAGAATGTCTCTCGTTTATGATTGTCGAGATAAGAGTAATTCCACTTTGGTGCTTACATAGTTGCACAAAGTGACACTTGCAGCATTGTCTACCTTACAGACTTTGTATATTTGACATCGCGACCTAGGCATCGGTATGTCTTTCTTGATCTAGGTCACTATGTGAATCAAGCTTTTGTCTTAAAATTTTTCTCTATCGAAGGCAATTTATTCGAAGAACT